TATACCAAATGTATCTACCAAACGTACTTGCGATTATATAGTTTAGGGTGTGAATTTCTTAATTGCAGTGCATCATTAAAGTTTCAGCAAATGGCAATAACCAGAGTGCTGATTATATTTGCTAGGCTGAGACTCATACCATGGATTCATGTGTCTATTTAGTAGATATCTCATCCTATAAATATTTAGTTGTTCCAGCATGAGTATCAGTCTATGCTTGAGCGCAAATGAAATGCATCGCGTTATCCCACTCTGATTGCACCTTAATGGCTACTTAAACGCATGTGAACGAAATCAGTTGATGTCACATTAAACTAACTCACTGCATTCATTCTTCGCACTTCAATTATACAATCACAACATTGTAGTTGAAACGTTAGCGAGTTCAAAGCTTTTATTTCGCGTTCGCTTTCGTCTTTCTCGTTTACGATATTCAACTCATAAATATACATCTTTTCTATTCTCTCTCTCAAATACAACAAAATACAATGAATCAAAAAACAAGACAGAACATTTCTAATAATCGCTAATGTTCTATTTCGTCATGTCCACATTAATAAACCGAACACTATCTTCTTACCAATATAATATTCAACAACAATAACAGTAATCATTATCACGCAAATGCTTCGTAATGAATAAAAAATAAACTCCATTCATAGTGATAAGTGAAGTGATCAGTAAACCGACATAAGATATGACATAAAATGAGTAAGATTCAGCAAAAAGCTAGCTTTTATATGCGTGAAATACCGATTCAGCGTTATCTTAAAGGAACATTCCTAAAATTTGTTATCAATCAAAAAACAACTTACTGATAAAATCATTACGTAGAAATATGTGCACTAATAATGTGTTCGTACCTACCATCCATAACATTCACCTATTGAATGACAACAATTATCGTCACTTAAACCAACAACACAAATTATGCTTCTAAACTGCTCCTGAATCTGAATCAATCTAACTGTTCATTGAACTCATCTCATCGCTTTTCAACTCTGAATGGAAAGGAGCTGACGTTGAAATTTTCATTCTTCAAAAACATGTTTTGGTATCAGCATCATTCAAAACAAAACTTGACAACATTCAGATGAGTTTAATGCACTAGTTTTTAACCTTTCCCTTCCCCTGCATCCACAAAAAATTTCAAGATATCCTCGTACCGCTGACAACATCCCCTCTATACACTGCAGTGTGGATAAGTGTATACTATAAGAGTAAGTTCTAGCTTCTTCAAAAATATACACGTTAAAGTCCGTCCTTGCCTGCTCTTCACATATGTATGCGTTGAGCTCCATCCTTGCCTACTTTAATGTACAAAAAATAAAACCTTAGCTCGCACTCTCTGGAATGTCATCTCGCATTCCTTGGGAGTGCGAGCAGCCTCGGTTGAGAAACCCTGGTTTAACGCATTGTAGTTCACAGCGGATATCCTAAAATGGAATTGGTGAAGACCAATACTGAAAAATTTAAAGTACTTTAGAATTCACCAGGTTCTTTCAAGTAACAAACGAAATTCGAATTATAATAATACACTGTGCTAATGCGACTAAGTTTTGAATAAATTGCTTTAAAACGAAATAAATAAAAGACTGAATGAGAGTGAAGATGGCATGTCGTTATCGTTCAAATAAGTACTAAGCCACGCATTACGATCGCATACCGATTCAACTTTTCACTGTGAATATCACAAAAATCAAAACACAAATTATTTAATGTTATCTACATGTTGAAGTGTGTTGCACTCGTTTACATTTTTGATGCTCTTTAATCTCCTTCTTCTTATGATTATCATTATCACGATGCACCTTCATACTTTATTATGAAGAATTTAATGTATCATAACTGATAGCGTGATTCAGTTAGGTCTTTTTGCTCATACACCCATTCAATAAAAATTATCATTTCCTCTCTTTTACCATACCATTAGACTTTTATTATAATATTATATCCAAAAGATGTAAACACCTCGAGATTGGGCGATTGTGTTAGAGAAAAAAACATTACCTGACCCTAGAATCCCTGATATCGCACTAGCTAAAAATATGTCCCATGCTTCCTCCTCGTACTAATCGTGGCAAACTGAAATTATTTAGTGTCACTCTGCCTTCCCCTGCTTCATCTCTCTGCAATCTGAAATTAACTGAATTTCCTAAGAAATCCATTTTATTAAATTACATTTTGAGCGATTCTAACAACTTCCCTGATAAATTGGAAGATCATCACAAGTTATTACTTTACGAGTCAATTATTTATTTGCACTGAATTTTTTTGCTGCGAACACCCACCTGTGCAAATGAAAAACTCTCAAACGAACGAACAGGTAATCAAATCTTCATGATAAGACAATAGAACGTCAACGCGATACTCGGTTGCAAATTCTCAGAAAGATTTACTTCACACGTTAAACATAAACATTCGTTACTCACCGACAACTAAACGAATAAACAAAACAATGAACAAAAAAAAACAATAACAAAATAAAGAATTCAAAATGAAGATATAAATAAATGAGAGTTTAAACAATAATAACAACAAATAGAAACAGATTATCTAATCAATCACTCAATCATAACTAAAACTTCGTCTTCACTCGAGTAAAAACATCAACAAACCAATAAACAATAACGATAGCAACAAACAATAATAATGATCGTATGAAAGTTTATTCATTCATTCAGTTAATTTCACCTAACCGCAACCAACCAACGAATATCATACGCACTCAATCAAACAATCATATAAATAAATGGCTAGAATTTGAGCGTTTATTTTTGATGAGGTGTTGTTGAATGAAAAGAATTATAGTAAATGAATATGTTATGATGACAACAAATGAGATTTATTCCATAATCTTAATTAACTATTCTTCAGCTGATCCATGAACCACGGATGACCGCAAGGACGCGCTGTCAACACCTCGCAACCCGTTTCAGTCACTAAAAGTGTTTGCTCGAATTGCGCTGAACGTTTACCATCTACCTGAACACTATTCAATGAATGAATGTACATGATAACTGCTATTTTAATTCTATAAGAATTGCTACTATAATTTTATTTCAAGAAGAATGATTAAATAACCGTAACAGCAGTCCAACCATCGGGCCATTGTTGGTCGTGATATGAACCAGCATTAATCATCGGTTCAATTGTAAATGTATTACCAGCCTTCATCACTCCTACTGCCTTATTTTCTGAATATTACTGTTATTTATGAAGATCCCACATTTTTTCGATGAACAACCAGACGGACATAACTTTATAGAATTCAAGGCGGATGGATGAATCGTTTCAGGAAATATTGTATACTTTTAGTCATTACTAATTGAATATGATAAAACATACTGGCATAGTGAGGCACGTTGGGCGCAGTGTGGAATAATCTAAAAGTAAACATAATTAGCACTTTGTTTAGTGCTCTTATGAATGAATGAATAGAACAATAAACATGAAAAATTCAACAAAATTACATTTATAAATTACAGACATAACAATTTTACCTATTAATACCATGTCCACAATACGTTTTCACAACACTGAAACCATTTGCATTTGCATGCTTTTGAATCACATTACCCACCTCGCGAAATTTAACACCCGGATGAACTGAACTTTTGAATTTCATTTAAACATCCTCATACATATTAAAACTGAATTATTATTATTGTTATTATAATTAGCCGAGTATTGAGTTAAACGTACTTATAAGGAGCTTATAGGCAGGTTATTATAAATACGAATGTACATAATAATGGAGCTAAAAAAAGACAAATACATTGATCGGAAAAAAACAAAACAACGTGAAATAACCAATTTTGATCGCTTCTTCTATACACTCATAAGTGACCGCCACCAACTTTTTTGATTCTTCATCAACCTGATCACCCACCAATAATGTCTCATTCAAATCTCCATGGAAGCCACGGTGATAAACTGTTACATCCACTGAATTGCTCGTTATTATTACACAATTATTGTTCAACTTAATAACAAGGATGAGCAATAGAATGAAGACGAACCGTTACAAATATCTCCATTTTCGAGCGGTCTTAGATCTGGTATACCATGACAGATAACTTCATTCACTGATGTACAAACACTTTTTGGAAAACGGTAGTATCTGAAAATGATTTAGATATTAGTATGCGATTGATAAACATAATTTATCGATGAAGTTATCAACTCAAATGAAAAACAAAGTCACTAACCCGAGTGGTGATGGATAACATTCACGTTCAATGGCTGCTTCATGAACAATTCTATCAAGCTCATCAGTTGTTACGCCGGGTGCACATAGTGCGGCACATTCATCGAGCACTTCGCGTGCTAAACGACATACTACTTTCATTGCTTCTATTTCTTCACCGTTTAATATCTATTATTCATAATCATTATTATTATTGTTATCATTGACTTCAAAAAGAAAAATAGTTCCAGAGCAATATAAATGATCGAAGCTTAAAGAAAAAACAAATGAACAACAAATAACCTTAGGTGTGTCTCTCTTGGCAGCTCTTTCCTCGAGTGAAGTACCATTCGGATGTAACGCATAATCGGGACGTGGTATTCCTAGCGGTACACAACGCTGCACACCTTGTCTAAATGGTCTGAGAGTACCACTGAATTTATAAGTTGGCCAAGGATCATATTCTTTCTCATCACCTTCATCATCATCTCCCTTTTTTGCTGTCGGTATCAAATGAATTATCTTGTGCATAGGCCAATTCTCCTTGAAACATTCCTTAAATTAAATTTTTACACTCCACAAAACTGAAGTATTTTACAGCATTAAAAATCAGTTACATAAAAGTTTACGAAATCAATTAAAATACACACCTGTGAACAAAAAAAAGAATCGTTTAACTTCAGCTTAATGCATGTTGGACACTTCAGTTTTGCTGGCTTGCCACAACTCGGTGTTGAACAAACATTATTCATATTCACTTCATCAACCATTGGTTTATTTTTCAGCTATCACTTAATAAACGCCCAACCTTACCAAATTCTCAAATCCAATAGGGTGACCGACAAAAGCACTAGCGACAATTGAAAGCCCGACATTTGGCAAGCTCGTAGTCGGTCACACAAACTTCGTTTATGTTCGCTTTGGGGTGACCGACAAATGCACTAGCGACAATTGCAAGCTCGATATCATCCAGCAAGCTTATTCCGGTGGTTGGGGAAACAGAAGCCAAAGTGCACTTTCATCTGCGCGCGCGTCCGAATGTTAAAAGGCGAGAAAATTGGAGGAAAACGCTTCGTAAATGCGCACAAAACCAACAGAAAATAACGTAGCTGTGAAAGATAACAACGAGAAATCGTCGTAGCCCAACCTTCGCGACTGATTCCAAACTTAATTCCCTACAAGCACAGAAGGTTTCAGGGAAATTCATAATCTAGTTTTTGAGATTATAACTTAAAATGAACATTCATAACAAAAAATAATGTCTTTGCAAGCAATCGAAATGGAAAAAGTACCGGAACAGAAATTTCATCGGTCAATGCCAAGTAATCAATTGAAAAGAGAATTAAATTCTCTACAAGCACAGAAGGTTTCAGGAAAATTAATAATCTAGTTTTCGAGACTAACTTAAAATGAACATTCATAACGAAAAATAATCCTTGGCGAGCGAGTGAGATGGAAAAGTACAGGAAAAAAATTTCATCTGTCAATGCAAAAGAGAATATGATGCTGATCGAATATGACGCTGATCCCGCTTTCCCTATCAAAATCGCAAAAAACATCGCTCACTTCGTTCTTTTTTATCGCGGTCATTATCACCAATAAGTTTTGATCATCACCAACATCATTAGTTTCTATGCATTGATAAATTATTCTTCAATAGATCATCACATTCAGCTGGTGGGAATTTTGAAATATTTCATTTGGCGCAACCGAACTTAAATATTCCCGAAGCGGGAATACGCCCAAAGCGAAATGTATAAAAGGATTCTTTTCCATAGGATAACTTAATTCCAGTTCGACGAAATCGGTGAGTATTGCTGCTCCTTCAATACGGTTAATATGGTTAGTAATGATGTGGTTAATATGGTTAATAATATATCAATATGGTTAATGGTTAATAATATATCTTCAATACGGTTAATAATATATCAATAAACGGTTATCCGAAATACCAAATTATGGTGGTTATTATATGATTAATATCTGGATATATGGCTCTATAGTGAATTATAATGGGACAATATATTACTACGATATGACTATATCTCTACATGGTTATGTGGTTCTATTCTAAGATGGATATCTACAAGAGCGATACGTGATGACCG